TAACTTTTTCTCTACCTTTGTGTCTGTCTGCCTCTTTTACATCTGTGAATCGCTCTTCTGTTCCCCACCCCTCGACTTTCTGCTACTTTGATGAACCTTCCCTCTGTGAAGCCCGAAGTCAGCTAAATGGCTAATGATATCTATCAAAACGCCTGTCATTTGAAATAAATAAATTTTGTAGGAGAATCCAAAGGGCGCTCTTTTCATCAACTTAATATACCGGGGTTTTCCGAAAGTTAAAATACAGTCTTGCAGCTTTTCTCTATTTGTGACGTCTGTATTATCACCCATAGGTGCTTACTCCAACGTTTCATGAAATGAAATTTTCCGTTTAACCGCCCAGAACGAATTTTCGGCAATTCCCGGTATATGCCTCATGCCATTAGTTTACCTTTACTACATACGTTATTTGGCAGAGATTCTTGAAAGCCGTAATAAATTCACTTTAGAAGTCGTGTTTCCTACTTATTCCCCGGAATTTTGAGCAACAACGGAAATTACACCAAAAATATATTTCTTAACTGATTCTATAAATTGCTTTAAAGATAGCAAGAGAAAGAATTGTTAAAGTTGGATAATTGAATAACCACAGTTGGTCCTCTTATGAGTATTCGTGAGCAAATGGTCCTGTCTAAAACACACTTTAACGCCATTTTTACGATTTGCTCACTTAGCTAGTCGCAATTCATTAAAAAATTTTTTATATAAATAAATGGCGCAATAGCATGCATCTCCTAGAAAAAAAGTAAGACGTATTAAGATGAGCGCTTTTACCCAGACCATATAATGTTGATAGCGGATCCCGACTAAACACGTTACTTCCCCCTTGTTGAAAAAATTATTAGAAATTAGACGTCGTTAGATTCAGGCCTTCTGTCAATAACCTTGCTGATTCCTTAACCCTTGCTAGTTTCACACCAGTTACCGTGGCTACCTGTCAATGTAAATTTTCGATGCCGGGGACGACAAATGCATATCTGCTTCGGAAGAAGTCGCGAAAACAATGTCTAACCAATGATATATGAATACTGCGTTTCATTTTGGTAAAAAGGGTGGAAGAAAGCAAGCCGTAAACCCAAGCTATTAAGATATTCGTGAAGTGATGATTTTGTAAATGCAGTTAACCGTAATTCGAATACAAAGATCACTATGTGGTAACATTATCAAAGGAAGAAAATTGCCAACACCATCTTTTTGAAAAGGAGTCACTTATAATAAACGATAAGATGGGTGGTGGGGTTGATTTAAAATGATTCGGATTTAAAGACTTAATCATAGCAATTAGCCAACTTGTTCATTGGAAATGCGTCGATTGCAATCAAGCCAACGATTCACAAAAGCAGTAAGCAACAAAATCAACATAGTCATACAATGCCTATTCTGCAAGTTTCTCGTAAATAAAATCTACCATCACAATAAACTAATAAATAGTATCAAACGGAAGAGAAAAAGCAATATGAAAGAGAGGTATATTTACAGGAGTTCACATATACAATATTTGCGATTAAAATAAAATTCTATTTACTTCTTCCTTGTTGGCGCATATTTGAGAAGCTCATCGACAAGATCAACATGGGAGAGAAGCATTCGGCGACAACAGTACCTCTCGAGACCCAATTTTGTCAGAGCATCCCCTTCTGTGTACTCTTTCTCCAGAAGGTTCTGATAGGGCTCCCAGAGATGGCCAATAACTTTACCGCAAGTGAAACAACGAACAGGGATGATCATTGCTCTATATCAAACAAAAGACCAGTAATTTAAAGCTATTTTAAAGCTCACAATAACTACCCTAGGAAAAAATTAAATCAAGGTAACCAACCAAGTCAAAACGCAAACATGAAATAAAACACCTTTAAATTAACTACGAGATAAACCTCAATGCAAATATGAAAATTGAAGTGTTGAATTTGGTCAAATATATATCACATTATTAATTCACTTTACGAAATCAAATGTCACTTGATAATAACACTGTATTAGCACTGATAAAAAATTCAACTTTTAAGAGGCCATGAATGAATAGCTCAAAAATATAGAATAAAGAAAAATGAAAACTTTAATAGAATTTAAATAATCTAAAGATGCTCTTAAATTATAAATGAACTAAAATCTAAAGAAGCATTCAAGTAGGAGGAAAAATAATGTGCAAAAAAACAAACCACAATGACAGCAGACAAAAAGTAGCACAGGCACGTTTGTCCAATTATGAATATGGCACAATTAATAAGCAAACTTCAAACAAAATATTATTAAATTTAAAAAGAACATTTTAGTGCGGTCTTTCATTTTGTAAGGAAAAAAATTATGTGATCTTCGCCATTTAAAGAATAAAAACTAAAGCATTTACTTTCACAGTTTTTAAAAACGGTCGAAGCCATCTATCATTGGATTGATAAAATGCCAACCAATTGTGATAACTTTGAGCATTAAAACAATCAGTTCCTTAGTCCTTTAAAAATGAAAGTAAAACCTGTACTGGGAAACAAATATTTATAAAAAATTTTATTTATATTTTGTCCTTTTTACCTTCTTTATAAGTGTGCTCAATAGTGTGGAGCAAGCAACTCACTGAATAAGTTATCTCATGCGAACCCAGTCAGGCTTGACGGTGTGGGCATGCAACTTGGAGAAGGGAATATATGTTATCGTGAGTGTGAGTACCTTATATCCGTCATATAAGGGATAATGACTAAGCTAATTATTCGTGCACACAGCCACGCACACACATCCCGAATAAACGTTTTCTGTATGATATGTCTATTTTCTCTATAGCTGTGCCATAGCTTAGCTAGTTCCGAGAGTTTTTCCAAACAAATGGGCAGGGCTGACATAGAGATTTCTGACAATAGCCAAGTCTTATAAGTGTAGCAATCCGCTACAAAAGATACGTTATAACCTCTGGGAAATACAACTCTAGAGTAAGATATTTTGTGGAGTGGGACAATGTTTATTTGTCCATAGAAAGTATATTAATGAAACCTACCATTTACTTTGTACACAATTGCCAAGATTTTTAGTTAAAATTATGCACTGTGCTTGTGCACCAACAAATACTTTGGCAATTCCTAATATTTAATAGTGCCAAAGGATTAGTGGGGTTTTACCAAGTACTTATTTGTGAAGTGCTTGCAGAAGATCCACCCATTTTCCTAACCCATTTCAGAAATGTTTGGTTTTGCCATGTACTGTTTGAAAATTTATTGTGAAAGTTTCTCCGAACTTAACCATATATTTACTGATTTCATTCAATTGCATACAAATAAAAACAGAAAAATATCATTTAAATTAATTGAGGAAGCTGTATTTAAAAAAAATTAATGGTTATTTAAGTTCAATACAAAAATGAGTGATTATATCCTTCAGATAAATTTATTACCTTTCCATATTCATACAACGAAATAGTGATACTAAAATGGTGTCATTTTAAGTAAAATTGGGAGCTTCTTTGTTAATGTTAGAGACCCCATTCGATATTAAAGGATTTTTCTTTCTTTGCTTAAATTACCGCTGCAAATTTTCAAGGTGAATTGATGCTTATTTTGGTCCTCTGTCCGACCCAGTTGTCACCATGAATGATTTTCCTTGTAAGTGCTCATACCCACCTGTTCATTTTCTCTAGTTTCATTCTTTAGATCAAGAAATCGAGAAGATGATATGGGATTTGGGTTTCCCGTAAGTATTCATTTTTTCTTCATCAATATCATTTTTAGGAAAGGATGTTCTCGGATATTCTACAAAGCTTCTTCGATGGTAATTTTACTGTCAATGGTTTTATTTTTAGACTTAAATGACTTTCGTACACCTTACAGAACATATGGCGGATACTTTGTTCCTGTAAGCATCTTATTTTCTGTTAGCTTCTTTTCCTACTTCACTAGTGCATTAACCTTTAACCATCACTTTTGAAGCACAATCCAAGGTCGGACTACGTCATAGACGAGGATAGTATCGATCAGTCGCAGCCATCATTCCCGATGTCGCTTACGAGATCATATCATTCTTCAACGTCTTTTTCTAGTACACATGCTGGTAATCGGGTAAGTTTCACCCCATCTAAGTTTTTTCCGATTATTTAGTTCGAGACAGTTAAAACTTCAATACGACAGCCTGATGGAATTCAGATTCTCAAGGAGATTATACGTCAGAATGGACAAGAAACGGTCACAACCAAGACCACTTATCCAGATGGTCGAGTTGAGACTACCACAGAAACTCGTGGAAACGGTAGGATAGAAACGAATAAAATTTTTCACCTTCCTTACGAATTATTCTAAAGTTCTGAAATTTGTAGCTTTGGAATCCAATATCACTCCTCCAGCCATCATGTCAACACCCCAGCCGACTGCCCAGCAATACCCTCAGACAGGAGGATTCTTTTCAAATATCCGTCGATGGTTTAGGAGTGAGTGAGGAAGATCCTTGTTAAGCTTTTCATTTCCTAGATTACTTCCCTCGTCCATATGTTTTCCTTAATATGTATTTTATCATCTCATATTCCGTGTTATACTTTGAATGCCATTGTAATGTAAATTGAATTGTTTACGCCTTCTGAGTATTTCAGTACTGAGTTTTTTAAATGTCAAATATGCTCTGTATCCTCTTCCTTGATCACGTAATATCAGTCGTGGTATTTTTAATAGAAAATTTGTACTAAAATCTATAAAGTTGGTTTATTAAAAGGTTATGTTATGGATTACACTTCGCCTTAAGCAGTCGGATGCCCTATACTTCTTCTATGGAAGATACAAGTCGAATGCTACTAAAAGGGTTGCGGTGAGATGGTCTGAAGTACCGGAGCAGGGTGGGCGGGTTTACATGTGTATGTACAGGTATTTGGTCATGCTCCTGTGGCTCCGAGTACTAGTGGCAATTTGGGTCAATCTGGCTAAGCCTAGTGATACAAGATGCTATAGATGGTAAAGTCAACATCGCTAGAAAAGCGAGTCGATTTGATAGCTCATTGAAGGATTTTTCGCGAATTAACGAAGATTGGTAGTAATTTAGTATAACAAGTGAATTGGTCGTTGAACAAAGCATGTGGTAAACAATGCCAAAGTAGTGGGCTATTTTTATCATTGCTTTTAAGACACCATGATACAAATGCTAACTTGGCGTCCGTATGATAAGTTCTAAAACGCATTTGCCCACCTGTCATCTAAGCTGAAGTATTTGTTCCATGACGTCCGCTTTTCGATAAGTGCACATTCTGGGCTCTTCACTTTTACTACCCGACATGCACGCATGGCACACCCCGTCGTAACTTCAATATCTTCACACGCTTAGGAACTCTCGATCCTTTGAGTTTATTTTTTACTCTATAAAACTGCTCAATCTCTTCTCTCGCCATCTTGTTCCTTGGTAAAGATCGATAATGATAAGAAAGTGATGGTTATTAGAACATCTAGATTACTCTTACGTGACTTCGATAGCTCTTAAAATTACTCTTCAGAGTTACAGTGGATTCTTAAGTATCTTGGTATTTCTAATTCACGATTTTCTTATTCCCTCAAAGAGAGTTAGACCATTCCGCCGTGTTTCTTGATTTAATTTTCGCATTCAATAGCTTACTTAATGGCCTTTTATGTTAACTCTCAGGGTATGCAAGTGTGAGTAGCATGGTAGTAATAGAAGTTTTGGCTCTCAAACTTGCAATGCAATTTTAAGCCTTTGCTGTTAGCCAGAGCACTAAGCATATGATTTAATCGGGATTCAAAGATTCGCGAATTTACTAAAATTGTACTGATATGAAGCCTATGGTTATCACTGAATTAAACTTGAAACAAACGGAAACAGTATATATCTTTCAGACTTAATAAAGTACCTATTTTTAGGCAAAGTATAGCAAAGATCATAAAATACATAAGACCTATGATCGACGTGAATCCAGAGGTGAATATCTATTGAATAGGTGGGTTATTGCAGAGGTACTACACAAGAAGGTGCTTATGCTAAATTTTGGCAATTCTCATAGAAGTCATGCTTTCTACAGACAAATACATCCAGCCCCTTGGGACTCAAATCTAAGTAATTAAAATAATAATAGTACTTCTCCACATTGCGGTGACTATTGATTGTCGGTTGTGTGAGAGGCAACTGCACCCGCTCCGCACTTGTTTACCACAAGATCAATAGCATAACCGTACCTATCAGACTTTTCGCTTACGATAACATTGGTAACACTATGTATCCCAAAAACTTCATGAACAGATTCATTAGTAACAGCCACAGTAAAAAATAAATTGAATGTTGTCAGTTGAAAATCCCCACTTACGAAATTAACAGGGCCAAAACAAACAAAATGCTGGTTAGGTGGTTGGAATGGGACGATAACAGCTGAATATTGCCTTAGAAGCGTGCTTACTCTTCGAACAACTTTAATTTATTTTTAATATGAAATAAGGTTATTTAAATTTATGGAAATATGTCTGATACACATTCTATAAAAATGTTAAAATTTAATTCCGATTTTTTAATAATTGTAACGAAAGCCAGAGAAAATACTTATCTACACTAAATATATGATGTGATACTGATAAAATTTATATATCTTTGAGTGTACGTGAACAATAAATAAAAATGAATGTTAATTATGCTTCATTGATTTACGTTTGGATGAATCAGTTTGATTGCACTCGTTTAACCAGCATTGGGTTTATGACCTATTATTTTTGTTTGTTATTTAACAAGTGGATGTTCTGCTTTCTGATATAAATGCCTGTGTACTCCTTCTGAGGTAAAATATGGGTATGCAAGATTCGGCATCACAATTTTCCAAAGTTAACACCGATGTGAGTAATTCTTTTTTTTAGTATTATTATCTCACAGGGTGAAATTTGGCAAACTTTAACTGGCAAAGATCGGCTTTGCTCTGCTCCGTTTAACTTCTACTCTTCACTTGCATTTTCAAAGCTTTTAGATTCCCTTAATCTCCCCAATATCTCTAACTCTTCTGTTGACATTAATGATGAAGATATTGAATTTTGTGAGCTTGACGAAGAGTTAATTCACGCACTCGATCATCATTCCCTCATTACTTCTCAACTTCCTGATGTCGCGGAGGATCATCTTCAAACTGCCGATGAAATTATTGAAGAAATCGATCGAATTATGGTTGGCGAAGAAGCTCCCATTTCAGGAAACGAAGAATTAGATTTAGTCCTTTGCGATCCACAGGCTGCTGCAGAGGTACGGACTCTTTATGCTTCGAAATCTCTAGCAGGTAAGTTAGATTATTTTAGGGTCATATTACTTTAAACTAGGAATGACGATTGTTGAACTGAACGCCCTGGTCGATGAACTTGATTTATGTATTCGTCACTACTCCTCCTGTCTTGTACGAGAGCTCGCAATTCGGGACGAGCTAGAATATGAACAGGACATCAAAGATCTTTTTTTCACTCGTCTTCACGAGGTCCAAACTCGAATGGATGAATGGACGGCTCGTTACGCTGACCAAGACTTCGAAGTCAAGGGGAAAATCAACGAAATCGAAGAGGTTAACGATCAGGAAAAGAGCTGGGGGATATTTAGTGGGGCTGCATCTGCAGCGGCAGCGAAAGAGTTGCTGGCCAATGCGGCTCTGGCTGTTCGTAGACGTTGGCAACGCATGGGCCAGAGTTTAGAGAAGGCGCGTTCATCTTGGCATCATCACACTCGATCTCGACGTCTCAATAACAGGCGTATGACAGCTGATGTTGAAAGTTTGATGGTTGAGAGGGAGGACAGTTTTTGTCATCATAGACACACTCAGCCCATAAGGGTGTCGGAAAAGATGTGTGTTTCGAACTCAAACGTGGAATTTGTCTCTAACTCTGATGGAGAAGCGGAATGTGGCTCGATGAGAACGGAAGATGAAGATGAATGGTCAGTAAAGAGTGATACCAACTCGGTTTCGACACCGCAGACTAATGCAACTGCTGGTGGGGTTCCCTTATCCAATGTTACAACAGCGGGCATTTATCATTCCCCTCGACGTCATCAAATTTGGTTCACCTCAACAACTGCTGGAGCTGGAAAAGGCAAGAGAAATCCGCAGGAAGATTTAAGGGTTAGTTCGAATTCTTGTTTTAATTTTATACCAATTTTGTGTATTGATTATACTTATCCTATTGTGATTCTTGTTTGAATCTCTCCACTCCTAATCACTCATTCAGTTGGGGGTAGTTCAGACTAAGAACTCTGCAAATATTAGCTAAGAACAATCGTTTGATTGCATATTGTTATCAATGTTAACAGTCATGAAAATTGTTCTTTTTACCTCGAAATTTTTTGAAGAGATACATTAATAGGCTCAAGAGATATTGCCACTTAGTCCATAGAGTTTCAATTCAAGGGTTATTGTTTCATTCAGCTTTGTCTTTGTTCTTGGGACATTTAAGATTGGTCATATTGGTCAATTTATTTAAAAGTAAGTTCGATTTATAAGTAGCTTGCTAAAATGCTTTGGTTGTTAAATGCGTCTCAACAACCACCACAGGGTGACGTCGATTGTCTTTCTCGATATGTCTGATAGGTTCCAATTCCTGATCTTTAATTAATGCTTATCTTAACTCATTTTGTATATATATGATCTCGTTATTTTTCATTCCAAATTTTATTACATTTTATTATCAGTGAAAGTTTATCTTGTTGAGTACTTCAATCCTTTTTAATTACCGTAACTTTTTATCTATCACAGGTTGCTATCTATTTATCTAGGCACAAAGTGACAAATTAGTATTTTCTACCATATGCAAGCGATATTTATCTTTTTATGTCCCAGTCGGATTAGCTTGCTACTTATTTTTTTGATTTCTTCTGCAGTTCCTTAGAACGAAGATTCCCTACCATCGTTCATCTCCCCCATTCTACGGACCTACCGTCGGGCATTTAGAGCTTTTTAATGAGTTCCTTCTGTGCATGCTCACAAATAATCCCAACCTCACTCCTCTCCTCACTGATTACATTCTCAATGGTAATTCAATTTGCACTTTTGTTCTAATGTTTTTTTTCTTCTTTTACACCTGCTTTTTCTAATTCTAAGCCCAAATTGATGTAACAGTTTAGTCAAGTATTACTAGTATTAAAATGTAGTTGCATTCGCGGAATCACTGGTAACAGTGTTAGTAATAATTGAATTTAATAGAGATAAGGCATCTTGGAGTCACTCGGATTAGAGATTAGTATGAAAACTACCACTTCTAATCAGAACTGATCAGTGTGCGACTTGCCTTTCTAATCTCTAGATTTGTCCCGATGATCACCTTAATCGGGACGTGATATTTTGTAGCTAAGACCATTCATCCAGTAGCTTTCATTTGCTGTTTATCTTTCGAAAGAGAAGACAATTGTGCAACTCTAACTCTTTGCTAATTCTTTATTCGTCTGATAGGTCAAATTTTAAAATGAGTAGGAATGTGAACATTGGCCTGCGGATTCATTCCGGGGGGAGAACGAAGAGAGGATGGCTTTCTTTGTTTAAGCCAAAGGCAGGCAAGCTTTCTAGTTGGTTCACTCCAAGTTCATAAGCAATTAAGTTATAAAGGTTTATTAGCGTTCGCTCAGAAACGATCCAATTGGTGTTATTTCAATTTCGTGACGTTTGTTTCAAGTTTTATTACATACGTAGCTACCGTTAGTAAGATTTGACTGCCGCTCAGGGATTTGTTGTAGTTTTCATTGCTGTTCTTAAAATTTTCATTGGCTTGCTATAAATGTACCATTCTCTTAGGTATTGCTGCTAATTATGCTTAAGCAAAGAGCTTTGAATTTATTTCTAATGATTTGATCTCTTAATCGATTTAGATGTGCGGAAGTCAGAGGTAAGAGGGTATTTATTTAACCAAAAATTTATTTATCTATTTCAAATGGCAGGCGTTATGGTAGGTATCATTAGCCCTTTAGTTGACTTCGGGCTTCACAGAAAGGAAGATGAACATCCAAGTGGTCAAAAGTCGAGAGGGGAAGAATAATGATTCACAGACGTAAAAGAGACAGACAGACAGACACAAAGGTAGAAATAAGGTGAGGTGAATACTGTGGAATTATTCGAATGTGAAAAGCAATGGGGTCATGGTAGTTTGAAGTCAGAAGTCAACTGCCGATTAATCGACTTTTTTGCCGTATGAGTATACGTTGCCCGGGGTGCACCACATGGAGGTAAGTCTATCGCACACCTCATTTAACCAAAAATCGATTATTTAAATTAATCCGTGGATATTATGTGCGCATTTTGAGTTTTGCGCCTGACTTCGCTAACAGTAAAGTTAACACGCAATTAGACGCAGATTTTACCTCACCTTCAACAGTTAACCCTTCGGCTCATTACAAATCAGTAGTTAATTGATTTCTTTTCTCCCCATTTTAGTCTATGCGCCCAGTGAAAGGACTGTGTTACCAAAATTGGCCATTTAACTTTACCTCCACCATATCATATACCCTTGACGTCGGCTTTGATTCAATTTCTGTTCACCTTTTAACTTCTCTTGTTTTAATGACTGATTATTTTAACCACGCAACAATCTCATCGATTAATTTTGTTCAG